TCTTCCTATTTCTTCAAGACTGGTGAAGCATCTCAGTGATATGATTTGTGAGTTTTCTTAGCACCACAGAATATAATTCATCTGTGCGTAAAGATTTTAATTCATTTACAGCAAGAAAAGTGTCCTATTAATATTATAATGTTTACAACCATATTGGTCTTCTAGTTATCCTCACTGATTTTTGAGAGTATTGAATTAAATGATTGGTCCCTATAGCAGATTTTATTTTCCAAAGGTAGACACAATATTCCCATCCCACATGCTTTTCTTATAAAAAAAAATTGACAGTCTGTGTGCCTAGACAGATCTTTATCATTCCCGTGACCAATGGAGTATAAGTGACATTATGTGACTTCCCCTATTTGAATATCTGAACCACAGAATCCACGTGCAAAATAAAATGGCTGTTTTATGCCACTGCATATTGGGTGGGTTGCTGCATAGCAATAGTAATTGGAACAATTTCCTGGAAAAAAAAAGACAAATGCAAAATAGAAGCTCTTTCTTTAGATGTCAGTGTTTCTCAGTTACTACTTGCATTGGAAACATCTGGTGTGCTTGTTAAAATTTAGATTTCTAGACACACACACATGCACATGCACACACATTCTGGAGTAACTATACCTAACCCAAAAGAATGGTGGAATTGTAGGCCCTGGAGAAGACCAGCAGTGTACGTGTGCTGAGTATGTTGAATTCCTTGTACCTTAAGGCAACCTGAGCATGGATTGAGAAATCTTATTTCCTGATCACTCCTGATACTACTGGTACCATTACAACAGTCCTAGTTCCCAAATTCAAATGTTTTATTATTGAATAAGACTGCAAAAACAAATAAGGGTTAGATAAAAGTTTTAAAATAGGCCAAGCGCAGTGCCTCATACCCGTAATCCTAGCACTCTGGGAGGCCGAGGCAGGAGGATGGCTTGAGGTCAGGAGTTCAAGACCAGCCTGAGCAAGAGTGAGACCCCATCTCTGCTAAAAATAGAAAGAAATTAATTGGACAACTAAAAAAAAATATATATATATATATAGAAAAAATTAGCCGGGTGTAGTGTTGCATGCCTGTAGTCCCAGCTATTTGGAAGGCTCAGGCAGGAGGGTTGTCTGAGCCCAGGAGTTTGAGGTTGCTGTGAGCTAGGCTGATGCCATAGCACTCTAACCTGGGCAACAGAGTAAGACTCTGTCTCAAAAAAAAAAAAAAAAAATATATATATATATATATATACATATATATACATATAAAATTTCAACTTGAAGTGGATGATGAATCAAAGGGGAAAGTTATTATCCAAGATCATAGTTACATCACCTTTATTTTTTTTATGTTTTATTTTAGTGTATTATGGGGGTACAAGTGTTAAGGTTACTTATCTTGCCCATGCCCCTCCTCCTTCGAGTAAGAGCTTCAAGCATGTCCATCCCCCAAACGTTGCACATCTTACTCATTGTGGTTGTATATACCCATCCCCTCCTCCCCACTCCCACCCTTCCAACACCTGATAAATGTTACTCCTATATGTCCACTTATGTGTTGATCCGTTAATACCAATTTGCTGGTGAGTACATGTGGTGCTGGTTTTTCCATTCTTGAGATACTTCACTTAGTAGAATGGGTTCCAGCTCTATCCAGGAATATACAAGAAGTGCTATATCACCATTGTTTCTTAAAGCTGAGTAGTATTCCATGGTACACATATACCACATTTTATTAATCCACTCATGAATTGATGGGCAATTGGGTTGTTACCATAGCTTTGCAATTGTGAATTGTGCTGCTATAAACATTCGAGTGCAGGTGTCTTTTTCATAAAGTGACTTTTGATCTTTGGGTAGATGCTCAGTAGTGGAATTGCTGGATCAAATGGTAGATCTACTCGTATCGCTTTCAGGTATCTCCATATTGCTTTCCACAGAGGTTGAACTAGTTTGCAGTCCCACCAGCAGTGTAGGAGTGTTCCTCTCTTCTGCATCCATGCCAGCATTTGTTGTTTGGGACTTTTTGATAAAGGCCATTCTCACTGGAGTTAAATGATATCTCATTGTGGTTTTGATTTGCATTTCCCTGATGATTAGAGATGTTGAACATTTTGTCATATGTTGTTGGCCATTATTCTGTCTTCTTTGAGAAGTTTCTGTTCATGTCCTTTGCCCTTTTTTGATAGGGTTGTTTGATTTTTTTCTTGCTGATTTTCCTGAGTTATAAATAGATTCTGTTATCAGCCCTTTATCAGATGTATAGCTTGCAAAATTTTCTCCCATTCTGTGGGTTGTCTGTTGCTCTCTTGACAGTTTCTTTGGCTGTGCAGAACTTTTTAATTTCATTGGGTCCCATTTGTTTATTTTATTGCTGTTGTGATTGCTTTTGGGGTCTTCTTCATAAATTCTTTGCCTAGGCCAATGTCTAGAAGAGTATTTTCAACATTTTCCTCTAATATTTAATAGTTTCACACCTAAGGTTCAGTCTGTTACCCAAAAATAAACAAAATTGACACACCATTGTGCTAGACTAACGAAAAGCAGAAAAGAAAAATCTCTATAAAGCTCCATCAGGAACAATAAAGGAGAAATTACAATGATGCCACAGAGTACAGATATAATTATGAATACTACAAAAACGTCTATCCACACAACTGGAAAATGTGGAGGAAATGGACAGTTTCTTAGAAACACACAGCCTCCCTAGGTCAACAGGAGAAATAGAATTCCTGAACAGACCAATATCAAGTACTGAAATTAAAACAGCAATAAAAACCTTCCTAAAAAGAAAGTCCTGGACCAGATGGTTTCACACTCGAATTTTACCATATCTACAAAGAAGAACTGGTGCCTATCCTGCAGAAATTATTCCACAACATTGAGAAGGATGGAATTCTCCCCAACACATTTTATGAAGCGAACATAACCCTGATACCAAAACCAGGAAAGGATGCAACAAAAAAAGAAAACTACAGACCAATATCCCTTATGAATATAGATGCAAAATTTCTCAACAAATCCTAACCAATCGAATCCAGGTGCTTGTCAAGAAAACAATTCATCACAACCAAGTGGGCTTCATCCCAGGGATGCAGGGATGGTTCAACATATGCAAATCTATAAATGTAATTCACCATATAAACAGAAGCAAAAACAAAGACCATATGATCCTCTCAATAGACACAGAAAAAGCATTGACAAATTCAACACCCTTTTATGATAAGAACGCTCAACAAAATAGGCATAGATGGGGCTTACCTAAAATGATACAAGCCATATATGACAAACCCACAGCCAATATCATACTGAATGGGAAAAAATTGAAAGCATTCCCACTTAGAACTGGAACAAGACAAGGTTCCACTATCTCCACTTCTGTTCAACATAGTGCTGGAAGTCCTCGCTACAGCAATCAGACAAGAGAGCGGAATTAAGGGCATCCAAATGGGAGCAGAAGAGATCAAACTCTCACTCTTTGCTGATGACATGATATTATACCTAGAAAACCCCAAGGTTTCAACCAAGAGACTCCTTGATGTGATAAATGAATTTGGTAAAGTCTCAGGATACAAAATCAATACACAGAAATCAGAGGCATTCATATACACCAACAACAGTACAAGTGAGAACCAAATCAAAGACTCAATTCCCTTCAAAATAGCAAAAAAGAAAATAAAGTACCTTGGAATATATTTAACTAAGGAAGTAAAAGACTTTTACAGGGAGAACTATGAAACACTGAAGAAGGAAATAGCAGAGGACGTAAACAGATGGAAGAATATACCATGCTCATGGGTCAGCAGAATCAACATTGTTAAAATGTCTATACTACCCAAAGTGACCTACAGAGTCAACCCAATCCCTATCAAAATACCATCATCATTTTTCACAGATATAGAAAAAATAATTTTACGCTTCATATGGAACCAGAGAACACCCCATATAGCAAAATCAATCCTAGGCAATAAAAAAAAATAGGAGGTATCAATTTACCAGATTTCAAACTATACTACAAGGCCATAGTCATTAAAACAGCTTTTCACTGGCACAATAACAGGGACATTGACCAGTGGAACAGAACAGAGAACCCAGATATAAAACCATCTTCCTATAGCCAACTAATCTTTGACAAAGCAGACAAAAACATACATTGGGGAAAAGAATCCTTATTCAATAAATGGTGCTGGGAAAACTGGATAGCCACATGTAGAAGACTGAAACAAGACCCATACCTTTCACCTCTCACAAAAATCACCTTTCTTATTATTCTGACCCCAAAATCCTGGGCCCTCTCCTGGCCAACATTGCTTGTTGGAGAGGGAACTGTCCAGCACCATTGCTTCCTGAATAAAAGCCATTAAACCCAGTGAAAAGAGATCTTGCTCAACCTTCAAGAAGGTGTTCTGGGGCTGAAGTCCTCCCTTCAAGAGAAATCAAAGCCCTTACTCATCTAAACTCCACAGTGAACCACAGCCTTGCCATCTCCCTGCATGAATGCAAACTAAGGCCATAGTCAAAAAGATGACACAGAATGGGGCTAGTCCACTCAGACATGGAGCGATTTTCAAATCAGGAAAGCAAAAACCAGATTCTCAGTATCTCTTCTTCCCTATTCACTAGGTTTAAAGAGAACTTAAAGTACAAAATATGTTCAAATATGCAATTTTTTATAAGGGGTAAGGTCTTCTCTGTGAAACAAAAATGCTAAATGAGGATTACCAGGGACCCTTCACCATTAACAACTGCATTGGTGTGAGTTTGACTGCATCTTTGCAAGTAGCTATTCTAGATTTTTTTTTTTTTTGGTACTGAATGATTTATTCCTGAAATGCAATCACTGACAAGTCATTTTGAGAAAAAATAAGACTCTTGCTCTTGGTACCATAGGCTCATGCTCTCAAAAAGTGGAGACTGATGAAAGTTTATTAAATAGTAACCATGCTTCAGATGCTTTAGAATTAAGAGTATTTTAAGATTATGTTTATAGCTTTTAATAAAGCCTATTTTTATTTTACTTTAAGGCTCATGTTTTCAATACAGAATGTTAAGGAGGCAGGATCCAGCTCAGATGGTCACTTGAGCAACAAGAGGTCAGGCTGGGTGCTACACAAGACTTAAAAGTGCAGCAGGACACAGGTGAAATGTGCTCCACTTGGCCCAGTCCATGAAGCATTTGGACTACTGCATTCATCATCATATTTTTACTTTTGTTAAGCAGTTCTGCAACCTACATTCCTTAAATAATAAATTGTGAAGACTAATCCAAAATTTGTGTTTTCTGGCCAAACATATATCTCTGCTCCTTTTTGTTCTGCAGACATTTTTGTCTTACTGTCCATACATGGTTCATTTTTGTTCATTTAAAGGACAACATATTTTATAGTTTGACCCCTGTCTTCTATAGAGAATGTTATTTTGATTTGTGCCTTTTATTTTCCAAGTATGCAAGTTAGGACAATCCAATGGTAACCATGGCGACAGCAAGCAAGAGTTCAAATCTCCGTAGGGTCATGTCATTCTTTCCCACAGCCCAGAACTCACATTCTAAGACTAATCCGGTATCTAAAAATATATCACAGGACAGCTCGTGCTGCCATTTATGGTAAAATCTGACTGAGTCAGTTAACTAATTTTCCCATTGCATGCAAAGAATCCCAAGTTAAACTACGAGATCCCAGTTTTATGGAAATTCAATGACAAAGGAAAAGGGAGGACTTTCTTATTTACTAGAATAATATTTGAAACTTAGGGCTACCTCTGAAACCAATTGGAATGCAAAACCAGATCCAGTGAAAAGGTCTACCCTGAAAGCAAGATAATGATAATAAAATAATCATATATGACACTCCTTCTGCTGTAGCCACGTATGTAGTGGCAAGATAGTCACTAAAGATTCCTCCATCCGGGACTTTTGCACAAACGGATCAGCTACCGTTTAACTATTTGTCTTTGTAACTGGCTCAGACCCAGGGCTGCCCGTGGCCTCTGTCAAGCCAAAGCAACTAGTAGCTGCTGGTTCACGCACTAGTCATGCCCATGGCATGGCTCCATCTCCACCTGGTCAGCCCGAACTGTGTGCGAGGGACAAGCTCGACACTTGCCCCAGGCCCACTGATAGTTTATAAGGAGAGTCTTTGCATTGATGGGATCTTCAGGCTGCAGATTTGGCAAGTTCTGAATAACAAAAAATGGCAACCAGAGTGACAAAATACAAATCTTAACGTACTTGTAAGAAGGAAAGAAAAAAACCCTACTATGAAGCATATATTATTTTACTTAAACTAGCTTGACAGAGCTAACCTTTTAAATTAGGCCTTTACTAGTTTATTATTTTTTGTCTCCGTCCTAATTAAACTTGTATTTTCTTTAGCTCAGGTCCTTGGATATCCTGAATTCCCATCACCAGTTCTTCCCACGCTCCTATTCTGAAACTAAATTGAAACTATTTTGCCTTCAGCTGCATTAGCTATAGGGAGGGACTTCCATTTCAGTTCCTGGGGTCTCACTTTGAAGCATCAGCTGCTCACCTCTAGGTAAGAATATTTGCCCAGTTTCCCACTTACAGGGACTCTTCCCTCCCAGGTATGTAGCCTGTTTCTCTTCTCCCGACTCCTCACAGCATTCAAAGCTTCCAAGCAGTTCAATCCCATGTGCAGACACCACCTAAAACTGACTCACAACAAAGACTGGTGATACAAATATATTATTCAGCAATATAATTCTTACATAGCATAACATGCATGATATCTATATCAGTTTCGGCATGGAGAAGAGTTTGACACAGTCAAAACACTTCTCTTGAGAATAAATCTGACTTCATGGGCCAGGAGTAAATAAGACAGATAACTGGGAACTCCTTTGTACAATTCTGGAAGAAGGGATCGACGGGAAAAGCAACTAGAGAAGACTGTGTGCAGGTGATGGCTAGAGAGAACAGCCTAGGATGAAGGCAGCAAGCTAGTTTAAGCACAGGACTGAGCATGTGGGACTTATCTTCCTGAAAACAGTTTGTGCCCTGAGATGTTTTCATAGTACAGAAAGTAGTTTTGCAGTCTACCCAGCTTACAAATGGGGAAGATCGCAAGAAACCGAGATAATGAGGAACTGTGCACTCAAACTCTCCCTTTCCAAACAAGAAACTTTGGAAGGTGGCAATTACAGCAGAAAATCTATAAGTAGAGGAACTAGGGAGCTTTCTGTTTGTGAGACAACAGGACACATTTAGTGGGAGATTTTGCTAGACCTTTTTTGGAGGAATGCCAGTGTTCAAAGTTGCTGAGCTTGAACTTAAAATATGTGGTCCTGGTCCTAGGCAAAGCTTAGAGGCACAGGCCTTCTTCATTCAGCACAGCACCTACAGCCAAGCGTGGCACACATGGGGGACACGAGACATGGGACACGGGACACAGGACATGCCTCAGAAGGCCAGACCAGTGATCCAAGCAGCCTGCCCCACAGGTGGCCAGTGCATGAGCGTAGTGGCTCTGTCTGAAATGGTGCTGTCCACAGAGACTGGAAATCCACTCCTGAGAATGTCCAGTCCCCTTTATGTACCCAAAGATGGCACTAAACTCCTTTCTCTTTGCCAGGCCCTAGTATAAGGCAGTGAATAAAAGATCTATAACTTAGGAGACAGATATTAGTTAGAGAGGTTTACAACACAGTCCTTTTAATTCTCTACTCAAAATAATATTAATTAATAATCAAATGTCACCAGTTCTAGTTTTTCAGCCCTCTTCTGGTAAAATTTCATTCCTTGAATTTTCATTTCCAAGGGCTGAATAGTGAAAATCACTCCATCCTATGAGAAATGTTGCACAAAGAGAGATTTGTCCTTTAGCAAGTTCTATGAACATAACCTGGTTTCTTCTTCCTTGTAAGTTAGATGACATCTCTCTCTCTCTTTTTTATACACTAAACATAATTGTCAGTGATGGGATACAACTATAACTCTTCTCGGCAAAGTCCTGAGAGCTGAGATTTCCTCTAGTCTCTGAGATCTACAAATATTAAAAAGCAGCCAGTGACATAACAAGATATAAAGATTTTGAAGATTTAATGCCTTGTTTCCTCCCCCTTATTATTGAATATATAAATTATCTCTAAGAAATGCAGCAGCCCAAGTCTTGGGAGACTATGTTATCCTGCAAGAGTTTACCAAGTTCATGCATTTTTTAGATGAACGAGGGATTCTCACAAGTCAACAGAGAGACTTGGGTTCCTGAGGCAGGACTGTCCAGGGTCCCCTGGCATTCCAGTAATGAATATATTAATTTATGGCTGAATTAACTCATTTGAGTGGATTGTGCTTTCCAGCAATACAGCAGGGATGGTAGCATCCTTGAATATTGCATGTGCTTGCTCTATTTCAATCACTCTGTTAAATTTCTCTGACAAATTTCTAAATCGATTTTCTGTGTTTTCTTGAAGTTCGTCAAGTGTTCTTAAAACAGCCACTTCTAAGAGATCGCACTCCTCCATCATTTTAGGGTCAGTCTCTGGCTTCCTATTTTGTCCATTTGGTGAAGTCCTATTTCCCTGAATGCTCTTGATGCTTGTGGAAGTGCGATGATGTCTGTGCACTGAGAGATTAGGTATTCATTTTAATCTTGGCACTCTGGCTGTGTTTGAGCCTGTCATTCTTCAGAGAGCCTTCCAGGGATTCTAAGCCAACTAAATGTGTGTTCCCTGTGGCCACTGCAGCCATCTCAGTGACAGAGGACACTCTAACCCCAGGCTTGCTGCAAATCTTGCCAGGGTTCCAAGGCTGACACAGGTTTCCAGCCCAGATGGGCAGAGGGAAGACACGCAGGAGGGGACTGGGGCTGTGTGCAAATGCTGGCCAGGGACTTGAGTCCAGAGGACTATCCTGGAGATGGATCCTCACCTGCAGTAAGAGGAGATGGAGTTGAGACTGGGCCCTTCTAGCATCTGCTATAGGAAGGAGGTTGGTGGACACATCTCTTGGCTCAGATGGGTGTAGGTCTCCCAGCAGGTCCCTGCACAAGTAGGGTAGCTCCTTAACTGCAACAGGAGAGACCAGAGTTGAGACTGGGACCCCTAGGATCTGCAGTGGGACGGAGGCTGGGGTGCCTGCAGCATTGGCTCAAAACAGTGTAGGTCTCCCGGCAGCTACCTGCACACATGAGACAGTTCCCCGACTGCACTAAGAAGGGCTAGAGCTGGGACTGGGCCCCTTCAGGATCTGACATGGGGTAGAAGCTGAAGAGCCCAGTCTTGTTGGCCTAGAGGGACATGCATCTCCCACAGACCCCAGTACCTATGGGATAGCTCCCCAACTGCAGCAAGAGGGACCAAGCTGAGGCTGGGCTCCCGTGAGATCTGCTATGGGATAGAGACTGGCAAGCCCATCAGGGAGGCTCAGACTCCCAGGGTACAAGATTTGAGCAAGTCTCCCTCTGGGTTCTTGTGTGAGAAACTCTGAACTGGGACCTCAGCTAAGGAAGGCTGGAGCAGCACCATAGGGCCACTTTCAGGTTCACTGCTGAGACGGGTGTCAGCGGGCACACAAGCCGTTCCACCGACGCTCTAGTGTGAGTGATTCCTTCTGATCCCTCAGCAGTGGGTTTTTGTTGCAGACCCAAGGCCAAACGGGGCTGTAGTCAAGACCCTGGGCTGTCTCCAGGCTTGAATGTAGCAGCAAGCCCAGTGGGGCAGATCAGCCACCTGGGAGTTGGTCTGCATTCTCCAAAAACCCTCCCAGATCTTGGGCTCCACCAGGGTTCCACAAACTCGCACCTGGATCCTGAGGCTCCTGCAGAGAGACTTTTCACTGTGCCCCTTCTGCAAAAGAGACCTAAACCAGATGAAGAGTATTACTCATCCAGCATATGGGGACCAACATGTGATGGCCTTGACCAGATTGTTGAGCGCTGTGACCTGCCCGAGATGCACGTAGGTGACTGGATGCTCTTTGAAAACATGGGTGTTTACACTGTAGCTGCTGCTTCTACTTTCAGTGGATTCCAGAGGCCCACTATCTACTATGTGATGTCAGGACCGATGTGGCAACTCATGCAGCAAATCCAGAACCCCAACTTCACACCCGAAGTAGAAGAGCAGGATGTCGGCACTCTGCCTGTGTCTTGTGCTTGGGAAAGTGGAATGAAACATCACCCAGCAACTTGTGCTTCAGCTAGTATTAATGTGTGGATATTATTCTTGTAGCTGTTAACTTCGAGTTTAGCTTGAATTAAGGGATTTGGGGCGACCATTTAACTTAATTACTGCTAGTTTTGAC